GTTTAATGCTTTAAAATCCATTACTGAATTTTAAAGTCATGACAATATTATTAGCAAATTTTACTCCAGTTTGAATAGCATCAAACATGGAGTTAGATTTAAGCATATCAGAAATCATGTCAATTAATGAATTCTGTAAAAATTCCATTTTAGGGGCAGTAATGCTTCCTAAGTCAAAATTGTCAAAATTTCCGTTAGAACGTTGGTTAGTATTTTGATTTCTACCCGCTGCAATAGCAGCATAGGTAGCTCCATTAACTCGCTGAACATTGTTAGCAGCAAGGGGAGTAGGTACAGATGAAACATTTGAAGCAGGGGAGATATTTGTACCTACGGGTACGGATGTAGAATTTGTTCCTCGCTGACCGTTGTTAACAGCAGAGGAATTTGTACCTGGTCGGAAACGTGGAGCGTTTCCTACCTGTCGGTTAGAACGAGATTGTAGGATCGCTTTGCGAGTCTTACATTCCCAAAAATTGGATTTGTGGTTTTCACCACAATTTGAACATTTAAATTTCTTAGGATCTTCCTTCACAGGACAGTTGTCCTTTGCGTGAGAGGAATCACCACAATTCATGCATTTAGCTGGCATGTAGCAATTTTTAGTTCCGTGACCCCATCCCTGGCACTTACGGCACTGAGTGAGGTTTTGGAAATTTCCTCCAGTCTTCCTGAAGTGTTCCCACTTCACTCGGACATGGAGCATAAGGCTAGCTTTTTCTAAGGCCTTAAGGTTGTTTAGTTCACTAGACTTGAAGTGAACTAAATAAAAATCATTAGAAATCCCGTTGCGCGAATCGCCAGGACGGGATTTCATTTTCATTTTGATTACTTGGAGTGGCACAACTCCAAGTAATTTTGCCAGTTCATCTTTGATCTGATCCAGGGATTCACCACTGGGCAGACCTTTCATGACAACCTTGAACACACGTTCAGTTTTGGTGTCGTAAGTAAAAAAAATTGTGCTTCTTCTCAGTAAGATACTTGAGAAGGCATTTAAATCCGTCCAAGGTTTCAGCCAATACACGGCATTCACCCCGACGTCCAATTTGTAGTGAAAACTTAACTTTCACGAAATTCAAAAGTTCCATGCGAAGAGCATGGAAATCGGTAGTGGTTATTACAATAGGGGGAATCTTTTCCTTCTTGGCATTAAGCCGGGAAAGTTTACTAGATTTTTTCTTGGATGATGGATCATTCTCATCATCCGTGAGCAAATCAAATTGATTACTCAAATTAATTTCATCAGAAGGGGGGTCAAGAGTTTGCCCCTTTCTTTTGCGTTTAGGCGCCATGGCGGCAGTAAATTTTTATCCAAATCGACTTCCAAGCAGATTATTATAAGAATCTGAAGGATCGAAGAGGAATTTTCCAAATCGATATCCAAGAAGGATTACCACGGGTAGGGTCCAAACAAGGATCGAAGAGGAATAAGAGGAGTTGAACAAGGTAGAAAATTTTTACAGGTTGAGCACTGAAAAGTGCTGTTTAAATTTGTTGTAGCTTTAGGTATTAGTAACACTTCCTTAAGCAAAAAGCAAATAGATCCGCACGGCAAGAGAGCACGATGCGGACTGATATATACGATCTCTTGATTCTCTCTCCTACCTCGTAGTGTTGTAATTCATTGTAAAATTTGAAAACTTTTTTCTCATTGTGTTCTTTCACTTTAAATATATACTCCTGTCTTCTACAATTTACGTTTTGCCTATGCCATTCTGTAGCTATTCCTTTTTCTTTTGCAAACCTCATTCTTTTTCGTGCTTTATTTAGTGATTCTATAGCTTTCCTTCTTCCAGGTGTTAACGGGATCTTTGCACTACGTAGCACCTGTTTTGCACAATTGTTTACTTTTTCTGCTATTTTACTGTATGCTTCTGTTACTGTGCATTTTTCTGTATCTAACGATCCATACTTTTTTAGTTCCCCGTGAAAAGCTTCCTTAGTTTCTTTTTGTTGTAGATTACTTGCCATAATTGTTTGTGTAGGTTTACTCTTCCTATTTTCCTGTTCCCATTGTTTCGACATTATCCCTACCCTTAACATTTTGTGATCTGTCTGAATTATGGTCCAATTCGCTCTCACGTATTTGATTTTGACAATTGTATCCTGTGCAGTTACTACATGATCTATTTGTGAGCTATACCTTCTATTTGTCCAAGTTATTAATACGGACCTATCAAACCTCATAGAAACCACATTCATTTTATGTATTTTTGGGAATATTTTCATGAATTCTCCGTTTTCATTCGTTTTTTCGTGTCCAACAAATTTTCCTAACCTGTCCCTTTCTTCTTCCTCTGTATTCTGTTTCCCTATTTGTGAGTTAAAATCCCCTAAAATAATAATTCGGTTTTTCTTTGGGTTTCCATTCACATATACTCCTAAATTTGCATAAAATGAGTTTGCATTTGAATTCGGAGCGTGTACATTCACTACCAGCCAATCTTCATTTTCTCCTTCATATTCAATTACTGCTGACATGATATTTCTATTTACATTCTTTATATTCCTAACTCTAACCTTTCCGTGTTTTCGTTTTAGTATGGCTAATCCCCTCATATTGTTGCTATCTTTTCTGTCTGATAGCCACCATTCATAATTGAAAGTATCTATTTTTCTACCTAATATGTTGACTTCTTGCAGTACTGCAATATCAATTCCAGCTCTTTGTAATTCGTCGTCGATTTCGATCCTTTTCGTTGATTGGCAGCATCCTCTTACGTTTATTGAAGCCATTTTGATAATGTTATTTGCCTTTTTATTTGTTGTGTTGTTCTTATGGCTTCTAGTTGAGTCTCCTTTTGCTCCTTCATTATTTTCTTTTGGTTGTGTCTGTTTTGTTACTTTTTGTTGTTTTCCTGTCACTCTTTCAACACTGTCTACTTGGACCACTCCATTGAGATCTGTTTGTAGTAGTTTGATTTCTACGTTTGACGCTTGAATGTTCTCTGGTTCAAAGTATCTTTCCATTCCGTTTACTTTGAATATCCTTATTGTCCTTTGCCAAGCATTCGCCACCATTCTCCATATCTCATCCGTTGTTTGTAATTTTTCTTCATCTTCCAGATTGTTTTCTTTAAGCTTCAACATATCTATTTTCAATGCTTCCGGGAGCTCCGCAAATTCTTTCGCTCCTGGATCAATTCCGCTTAGTTGGTGGCTCATTGCCCAAAGATAACTGTCCTTTCCTTCTATAATCCTTCTTGCTTTCAATCGTTTTCCGTTAACTGATATCCAATAGCACTTATTCAAAATATCTACTTTCTCATTTTTTTCATCTCCTGCCGTTTTTCCATTCACATCTGTTGTTAGATCCTCTTCGCAAGCATTTTCCTTTACCTCTTTTTCCGGTTCTGTAGTTCCTCTCCACACACTGTCGTAATGGTTGATTCCGTTGTAGTACAGCATTATTGTTCTTCCTGATCCATTTCCGTATTTGAACTCCAGAGGCGCATAATGAGGGTTAAACACTATTATGTTGAGCTCCAAGATTTCCTTGACTGCCAATATCGATTCTGCTCCTGCCCATGTGCCTTCTTTCGCCAACTCCTGTATATATTGTACCATTTTTGATTCCATCTGCTCATCATTCCGGTACTCATTTGGTGTCACGATTTCGGCCATCAGAATGTCTCTCATCTCTTCCTTGTGGCTCCACAGATAGTTTACCACTTCTTTCCTTAAATCTGTGCAGAATAACTATAGTTTTCTATTCTCGTGCACAGAGTGACTTAAAGAAGAAAAGTGATATTTAGTTATTGTGTGGTTGGATTCGCTGGAGGAGGAATTGTTTACTGTTGACTAGAGAAAATTAAGCATCGGGAATGCGCTCCCGGATATATTGGTTTGGTGAGTACGTTCCAGTTGAAGATTGTTCTCTCTAAATAACCCTTTTTTGAATACATTTCATTAATCAAACATTATTATATGCTGGGTTTGGGGGGCCTAAGGGTTTCAAAGGATTTGTAGACTGGACAAGGGTTCGTGGATTCGCCAGTCCCTTGTCACGTGTTGATAGATTTACATCTTGTCGTTTGTCTTCCAAAGGTGAAGTTGATTCACCCTGCTGCAACAAACCATCAGGCAGAACTTTACAACCAGTGAAGTATCTGCAGTCATAGGTAATCCTTGCACTGATGGTGGGTTCTATTCACATCACATCACATCAATAACTATAGTTTTCTTTTCTGTCTAGAGGCGGCTCAAGGCAGAGTGCAAATCAACTTAACCTATAACAATTTTTAGGATAATAAATTTCATTGTAATTAGCACTTCAATAAACAAAACTGTTATTTGTTCAACTCACTGCATGTGTAGAATAACAAATTTAGGTTTAAATCAAAGACTTCATATCAAGAAGACTGGCAACTCTTCCAATTTGTCATACGAACGCTATGAGACAGGTACAATCGCGTCATCTGCCGCTCGAAGGTAAATGCTTCGAACGAACTTGAGAGCAAAGATTAAATCCTCAGAAGAAAGGTTTGTGTATTTGCTCATTTTTCTATGCGTTGCTTTCACCTTCACTCAAGCGCAGCGCTACTGTATCTGTTGCTTGGATTCTGGCAAAGTTGCCAGTCTTCTTGATTTGTTGTCTTCGTTTAAATGTAAATATAGACGCAAAAATTAGGCACATAAATTTAGATAATCTTTTTCGACATCGTGTCATATCAATTCAGCTTTGTTATAAGCACTCTTTGTTCTTCTCCATGATCTCGTTTTTTCAGCTTTCGCCTGTTCAGTTGGTACCGAAGTGTTGATTTGGAGGTAGGCTCACAGACGAGGGTCGTTCGCAACACATTCCGTCAAATGAACTTCTGCGAAATAGGTTTCCGTGAAATGGACCTTCGTTTCTGCGAATTTATGTAAACGGAACTGAAAAAATGAGTCAAATTCAGCAGCCGTGTACATGGAGATACGACTGCACAAAACACCGGATAGTTTTCAGGATGTGATATACACTTTTGGAAGTGAAATATGGCGAAATATCCACTACCTATTGAATTATAATATATTTGTGTACGACTTACCTAAGCACTCTGTCCCTTAAATACCCCTCTTGACCGGTTTCGGAGCGAAGTGCACCTTAACCGGCTTGCACAGTTCCAACTCACTACCGGGCCGTACCGACAGGCAAATGCTAATGTCCACCGGCGATGCCTCGGTCCATACGCCATGCGACAGCAGCACCGTTGTCCGCAGGCGCCAATGCGACTGGCTTTCACCCTGTTCGGTCATAATCTTCTTGAGGTCCTTCTTCCTCGGAACGATCACGTGAACATTCTGGTCGGGATACTTGATCTTGAGTCGGAGATCTTGTCGTTGGCTTTCCTGTAGGTTTTCCAACTCGGCCACCAGCGGCACGGCAGCAATCAGCCCGGCCGTCACTTTGATGACGTTGTCCGAGTTGAAAGATGATTCCGACGGTTCCAGGATGCGGGCTTTGCACATTTTGATCTGTGGAAAATTTCAACATTAGGCGAATTTCACATTTGAAAACCTAACAACGAACTTACATTAGTGTTGATTCTTGGAATAACAACGGGAGCGGCAGCTTGTACTACGGGTAAAATTTCACGAAACACCCGTCCCGGTCGGGGATCACCAATCGAAGCCAGTTTCGTCAGAATGGCGCTGGTGAAGGAATCTGCCGACAGGGAACTGTTCTCTTGCAGAAAGTTGCTGGCATCGGCTGCAATGTGGAGAAGAAGCTGACACGGTGCGAGAGCACTCTGGGAGCGATCTTTTACCACCAGGACCAAATTGAGGGCGCTGGCTCGGAGACACATCTGCTTCACCAGGAGTTCATCTTCCAGGGTTAGACTGGAGAAGAGGTTTTGCAGTTTGAGACATTTGCGAATCAATTGACCGAGACAGTCTTTGAGGGGAGCCTTCGTGGGTTGACCGGTGGTAGCGACCTGGAGCTGTTCCATCATAAGCTGCGTGCCGAGGAACACTGCCGTGAAGTTAGCTGTTCCGGAAAAGGATGGATCGATTTCTGCCAGCCGGTCAAGATTTTCTTGGGCTGTCTTGAGCAAGGCTTGGCGAGCTTGTGGAGCGGAATAGGCCAGTTGAATGTTGTTGAGGAGCGTTTCCAAAAACTGCCTGGATCCAGTGGATCCGGTTAAGGCGAGTTCAGTCGATTGGCCTCCGACATTGAGGTGGGGAACGAAATTCGGCATCGTGTCTCGAAGGTAGGCATAGTGCTTGACTATCGTTTCGGGGAAAAGACTAAGCATCGGAGGGAGATGTTGAGCTGCATTGAAAAGCATTATCAGGATGCAGATGTACGAAGGATCTTCGACATCACGCTCGGCACTGTCGAAGAAGGGATGATCCTGCAGTAGCTGGGGGGTGAGTGACATACAGATTTCCGGATGTTTTTGACCAACGCGTTGCATACATCCAAAGGTGGACAGTCGATCTTCAGGATATTTAAGAAGCACATCCAGTACTTTTTGAACCACCAAAGACATACACGCCTTGGTGGACACCTTGCAAGCTCCCAACATCAGGTGAAGTCCTTCACGAACTTCCACCGAATAATCCTCCAAGGAACTCAGCATTGTCTCCAGTTGATCCTCTCGCAGAATGATATGCTTTGAAATGGCTGTCAAACTGTAGATTGCCCTCAGTCGAACCTCTTCGATTTCGTCATTGAACATGTCCACCAGGAAATCCAGCGAGGTCACCGCAAACGGAGGATTCTTCAAAGCTAACTTGCACATTGAGTTCACCGAAGCCGTCCGTACTTCCAAGAACTCGTCCTCCAATCCCTGCACCAACGCCCCACAAGCTCCAGACGCCATCAGCGATACCGAATCTGCATTAACCAGCTCTTTAGGAGCGTCATCTGCCCACTTCTTGCCGCTGGACCACTCCCCACTGGTGAAGTTATCCGCATTCCTCTCGTGTAAGCTCTTCTTCCTTCGCATATTGCTCATCAACTTTTTGTCCAACGTCTGATGTAGGAACTCATCGTTAACCATCGTCATCCCTCCCAGCAGATCAGCCGCCTGTGTCCGTATATTCATCGATAAATCACAAATCGCACTGCAAACCTTCCCAAAAGCATCATCAATCAATCGAATCTCCTGGTCCGACTCCGGAATATTTATACCCTGCTCCGGATGCCTCACCCCCAGCTGATACACCATTTGCAGCGCTTCCCGTCGAACGCATTCGTAATCATCCGTCAAAGCACTGCAAACTCTCGCATAAAGCGATGGCGGCAGAACAACTCCTCTCTCTCCCAGCGTCAACATCGACCGGAAAGCCTGCGCCCTTACCCTCGCATCTGGTGAATCTGTATACTTCCCAATCAACTCCAAGCTTTCCTTCTCGGCATCGGAAACCAGCACGAATTCTCCCAGCAGCAGAATCGCATGTCTCTGAACGTTATGGCTCGGCGAGAAAAGCTTACTCTTCGCAAAGAACACCATCTTGTTCACGTTCGCCACCGTCGGGGTGCAAGCTTTCCCGATCCTCTCCAAAGCCTGTAATCCCTGTGAAAACACTTTCGCCGAGGTTTCTCCCTTCAGCAGTCCAATCACCTCATCCACCAACTGCGGACAATCGATTCCGGTTTCGGTCGCCAAATCTCCAAACAGCGATAGAATCTTCACTCTCACTGCCGATTCCGGCTCCCTCCGGAAATGCTCCACCAGATTGCGAACTGCCTCCGGGAATTCGCTCTCCTCGAACTGCATCGCTTCGGAAATCTTGATCAGCACTTGCAGGGCATCGTTGCTGTTGGTCGTATCTTCCAGCAGGTTCACGTACGCGAGAATCGAAGTGGTCGTCCCGCTGATCTTTCGGGCCGTTAGGCGGATACGTTTGTAGATACGAGCGGAAGCGGTGCTGCCGCTCGATGAACCGAGCAACTGCGGAACGATCGGAGACGGTTCCTGAGGGAGAAAAGAAGCGGTGTAAACAAGTCGAGGGGAAAAACCTATTCGAACCGTACTTGGATTGTTTGCGTCGGTTCCGGAAGTGGTCTCTTCATAGCGAGAGACATTTTGGGATATTTATGATTAATTCCCGGATATTCACGTAAATACTGCACAACAAACTGAACTAGAAATGCGAATGCGAAAACGATGTGAAGAAATGTCAAAATGTCTGGCACGGGGGAACACACACTGGAATGTAAACAAATCGCGGTGGTTGAGAACTGGAAAATGGGAAAGTGCAAAGTAGGAAGCGCCTCTTGTGGTGAGTTTCAAAAGGTGATGGACGACACTGATGGAAAAAAGTAGCAGAAAAAGTTGCTGCACCGTTTGGGGTTAACCGGGTTATTTCTAGACTAACATTTGAAAGGGGCGGAAGAGCCAAAATGTAAACAAACCATATTTTGGCACATATAGAGAGAACAATTCACAAACTACTCGATAAACACGAAAAAGTAGAAGAAAATATCACTTCATATCATCAAAAACGTTTCTTCTTACATGGCGTATTTCCAACTTTCAACTCGATGATGCAACTGGTTGTTACGCCTTGCACCAGAACAACGAATAATATTGTTTTAATATGCCAAACGTATTGATTCTGTAGTATCTAGTCACGCCCGATTCATTTGAAACGAATCCGATTGATATTTCACGTGTAAACAACGAACAAAAAGAAGACCAAAAAAATCTCCGGGCGTAATTCCACTCTCACAAAATTTGCGAACGAAGAGCCAAGGCGGAACAACAAACAAAAAATCCCGATGGTGTACTTCCACGGCGTATCACCAGTGTTGGCAGTTCAAAGGATGGAAGATTTGGGGGGTAACAACATGTAAGAAATTATCAGGGCGTATGATGTTTTCTTCTCAATTTCACGACAAAGAAAACTTTTTTTGAGTTTTAAGTGATGCATGATGATAGATTACACTATTAACTATATGTCAAGCTTATAAAATCATCCATAAAATGGAAAGTCGTGAAATAGGATTAATGGATCATTTTAGATGGCTGAGTTTTGAACCCACCACAGCTTTCATTTGGCGCTACTGTATACGGACGAACCAATGTAAAATACTGTGGTAGCCACAGTACGGTGCTGTCAAAACCTCAGCATCTTCAATGATCCATTTTTAGGTCATCAAAATTCGTAACTCTGGGTAACTCGCGTTGCTCAACATCAAATACACATAGCAACCGATAGGGTAGAGCGCTACTTCGTCGTAATCGCCCATTTCCGTTCTATCGATCAGAAAAGATCAATAATATCAATGATTTCACCGTGCACAAATCAATAATAGGGTTGTTACGATGCGCTAGTTCATTAGCTACAACATAAACCCTATTAGAGCGCATTGTATGAATATTTACGCTCATTGTTCTCAAAACAAAAGAAGCGCTCCTAGCGATCCCCTTTTTCTACGTTTATCTGTAGGACGAAGAAAATCTAATGGCGTTTCAATGCGTTAGGACGGAATTGAAACTCGTAGAACGAATTTAGAAGCAAGAAGCAGTGTTAGATTTTAGACAATATCTCATCAATTTGTGACTTTTTATCAAATCCAACGGTACGTATGGAAAGGTGAATAAATTTGCAAGTCATCTTCGACAGAAATATTCCATTTTTTGTTTAAATTCGTTCAGAAAAGAGAGGTAAAGCGCGGGTTGTGCTTAGTAGGACAGAAATTAGATCAAAAACCCTACTGTCAAGCAAAGCAAAGCAACAACATTTTAAACGGTGTGTTTGAAATGCTTAACCGGGAAGATCTTTCGGCAATAGAAGGGCAATTTCACGTGTACGAAAAGAACTACAAGCTTATTTTTTAGGTTTTGTGCTAACGTAAGAACTACACGACACTCACAAGACGCGACGGGAGACAAGACGCAACACTTATTGTTCTTACAACGTTAGCTTGAGGATATTTGAACTGTGTGAACTGAGTGAACTGCAACAACAGGATTTTTATGGTGACCTTACGGAACAGTCAGAGTTGCTTTACTGCCAAGCCGATGACGTTCTATTACAGGGGGATTCTGTGCAATCCCTAGAAGGGTTCTAGTCAATCGCAAAGAGGATTTACGACAGTCTCAGTAGAGATTCCGAACAAGCCTAAGAAGAATTTCAGACAATCCCAGTTCGGCTTCCCAACAATATTAAAGTGGACTTCGGAAAATCCAAAGAAGGAATATGGACTATCCCAGGGGAGATTCCGCACAATCACAGGAATTCACTCAATATTGAGGGGGATTCATGACAGTCCCAGGGAGGATTCCAAATAATCCAGTCAATCCAAAGGGGGATTCTGGACAATCCCAGTATGAAACAATTGTATGTGGTGGTTCCTACATCCCTTCGACAATCGCTCATTGACAAACTTCATATACATTTCAGAATAGAATCAACTGTGAAGTTGGCCAGAACTAACCTATTCTGACCTGGGATGAAAAGTTAAATTAAAAACCGCATTCAAGAATACTCCTTTTGTGCTAAATATTGAGCATCACAACAACACCAGACGATGAAGATTCAACCCGTTCCTGTTTGATGTCTTTTCGCAGGAGTATCAGGGGACACAACAAACGCTTCTGAAGAGAGATGACCCTAACTCTGACTTTTTCCAGCTAAATATTCTCAGAGATTTAAACCCTCTTCCTTTATGAATACTGGTAAATAAAATGTTGCTTGTTACGGTATACCGTAATTATTAATAATAATTATTAATGGCGAGTTTCCTCATTTCACACATGTAGTGCAACAAAATGTGAAACCTCTTTGACCGATTTTGAGAGATTGAGTGTTAATTTTCATGAGCTAAAATTAATCTTCTAAAAACATTTGGCCAAATTCCTACTTCCTTGGTCTTGAAAGAACACCATCTAGTGTTTCCTGCCCGGGAAATTTACCAGAATCATCATTTCCCGATTCCCAGGAAACTAGTTTGACTTCCCGAGAAGCATTTTTTTCTGAAAAAAAAACCATGATAAGCATATTTTATATTAAAAATGACCACACAACCCAGGACTTCCTTGCGGAAAATGTAAGAGCTTATTCAGAGGCGATGGTGGGGGGGGGGGAGGGTAAAAATACACCACCGTCAGGAAAGTTGGAAAAACTTTTGGGGAAAATTGGTAGAAATTTCCGGAGAAAGTTTGACGAATCTTTAGTGCGAAGTCAGGAAAGCTTCCAAACGAAACCGGTAGACGCTTCTGACACAATGAGTGAGAAATTCCCGGGCGAAGTTAGAAGAACCTTCCACGCAAATTTAGGCAGCCGGAAAAACATGCGGACATGGTTATGTTAACAGCCATACCACATCGATTCATGTTGATATGGAGACGTGACCAACCAAATTAAAGAAAAATAGAAGAGCCTCTTGTAAAACGTATTCCAATGCAGGCATCGGGTGGTTACAATTTGCAGCCATTGCTTGAATCATGCATGAATTTTGTTGGTTTCATAATAATTGTTCTACGATTTTTATTATTTAAATGTTATTTCAATAATTTAGCACTTAAATATCCAATTCTACTTACCAGAGAGATTCTACTTATGCCAAAGAAGAAAGGGCTTCCGTTCGGCTATATTCCTGATGATCAGGCAAACTATCCAATCGAGGGGGTAATTCACTCTGCCACCTTGTGCTTGTGTTGATTGTGTTTCTAGCGAGTTTTTGGATTTCAGAAGGTGTTTCTGCATGTCGACCTACCTGTCAAAATTTTGAGCGAAAATGAATGCTTACTGGCAACCATAACATCCATATTTGTTTATAAACTAAAATTGATGATACTGTTTACTGCTGGCTCGACTAAGACCATTGTTGGCCCATCTCAATTTCAAACGTAACTAACATTATTAACAAACCATTAACGCGACACATTTGCAGGATTACATCTACGATCTGCGGTCGTTGGAGAATTACACCTTATTGGATGAAAACGGCAAAAACCAAGGAATCACAGAGTGGCACAAGATGCATGAGCTGATCGATAAAGCGATGAAAACCTGGCGGAAAGGACAAGTTGGATGTGACAGGTGGAATGCAGTATGGTGGCGGTGGAGGGGGTTCCAGTGAGTACGGTGGCTATCAGGATAACAAATCAGCCAATCTGGGCATCAACTTGTCGGCAACACTGTCCCCGAAGAGATCATCAGCACGTTCAGCGGTAAACAGCACTCAAGCAATGAAATTATGAAAGACCTGTTCAGAACCTATCCGCCGACGCCTCCACCAAGGACGATTTCGACGACTTTAATTCATGGGCACGCTAAATCCACGATTCCGGTTGCATCAAGGGTGGTCAAGAGCTTGGAGATTTCGAATCTAAATAAGGAAATCCAACAACGAATCCCGCTGGCGACGACTTAGCCAATTTTGTGGCGTTCAGTTTGGCTGCCGCTACTCCAGTCGGAATAAATCAATGTGTCACATCAGCTACCACCGGGATGAGCTTCATGGGATTCTGCCTTGGTGTGTGGATTGTGCCTTTGATTTAGTATTTGTTTTGCATTAAAAGTACATCGTTAATGTATGATTTGTACTCTTTCGAAACGATTGTACGGCTTTTCCCGAATTCTGTTTCCTCGAATAGAACGTCTCTTCTAAATCTGTTTTCCCAACTGACACGGTTTCACGGTTTCCAACAGGTATGAAAGGTATAATTGCTTGAACTGTATATGAACTCTTCATAAGGTCAATCATAATCAATTTATGCCTGCTTGATTACAAACCTATCGGTTTCCAAGCGCTTGTTTTTTTATGGTTGTGAAACTGAGCCTGAAGACAGAGGGATCCTGGCTTTCGGAGATGAACTAACCCATGGCTAAAAATCTCCTAAATAAAGTTAAAAAACTATCCCGGTTTGATTTGTAATTTAAATCTATATTATAAAAACACACACACTCAAGGTCTACGCACATTAGATCCAGAACGGACGAGTTGCGGCACAGTGACAGCTAAATCTATTGTCTAACTGTCAAATTTACGTCAACGCAACGCAAACGGATAAAATGTGGGTGGCCCTTGACACAGTGACACAGTAACAAAACCATAGTGGAAAAAAAGTGTGCATTTGTACATTTCTAATTTCAGTATCCTACCATGGCGAATACATCGAAACACCCTCTTGAAGTGCA